GTGTGGAACAATCTGGGTGCAGGCAGCTCAGTTGGGGGTCTAAGTGTAGGGGGATCTGGAATCACAGAGGCTTGTGGGCAGGGGAGGTTCTAGGTGCAGGGCAGTGGGACTCTGCAGGGGCTTCCAGGTGAAGGTGGTTGGGGCTCAGAAGAGGGTGTGGGGGCCTCAAAGGGGGAGTCTGGGTGCTGGGGGAGTGGGGCTTGGTGGGGCGGAGGTCCGGGTGCAACTAGTTGGGGTCAGTGGTGTGGGGGATCTGGATGTGGGCGCTCAGGGGGTGCGGGAGGGTGTGGCTTGTCAGGGTGGGGTTTTAAGTGCGGGGAGCTCTAGGAGGTGGTCTGGGTGCAGGAGGCTCCAGATGCAGGAGTGGAGGTTCGGTGGGGTTCAGGTATGGAGTGCTATGGGGTTCTGGGTGTACAGGTGAGGCTTGGCGGGGGTGTCTGGGTATGGGATGTCCAGATGCATGGGGTTTTTGAGTATGATCACTATCATGAAGCAGTTGTATTCTACAACAGTCTGAACTTTAGGAAGTTTGGAGCTGGATCTAAATTGTGCAGCATGTCCCCATTTATTATTTGGTTTGACGTAACCCTTATGTTTCCGGATAGCTTAGTATACAGTTGACACAATGGTTTTCCACACTTCACTTCACTTTTTTTTTTTTTTTTTTTGTGCTTGCCATCTAAGGTTGGGAATAAAGATAAAGTAATTTAATCATAGAATCATAGAATATCTGGATTGGAAGGGACCTCAGGAGGTCATCTAGTCCAACCCCCTGCTCAAAGCAGGACCAATCCCCAATTTTTTTTGCCCCAGATCCCTAAATGGCCCCCTCAAGGATTGAACTCACAACCCTGGGTTTAGCAGGCCAAACCACTGAGCTATCCCTATTACAGCTGGTCACAAAACTAATGGTTCTAGTTCACAATTAGAATTTTAAACCGAAGAACTCATTCACTCAATGTCTTATGGGATTGTTAGAGTATGCTTCTTAGATACCTTTCCATGGCTGAGGAGAATACACATTTACACTGAAAATAGAGATGAGCCTGAGCTACGAACAAAGTGATGAGTTTGATATAATAATTTAACTCGGATTGATCTGAATCCAAACATTCCAGATTTCAGACGGCTTTTGGATCTAGGAGTTTGATTCATGTACATCTCCTACTAAAACAGAAAATGTAGTTTTAAAGAACAAAAGTGGTTACAGGGCAGGGAAGAAATGGGATATTTTAAAAAAAACAGTAGATGGTTGATTATGATCTTCCGGTTGCCATTCTTTAAAATGACTGCCGTAGCCTAGAAACGCATTTAGAATTTTTTGCAAGAATTCTGTTCCAAGACTTTTTTTTTCTTTCTTTAATTTTAGTTGGAAACAATAATTAGGCACATTTAGGAAAAAAACTGTCTTCTAAAGAATTCATGTGGGAGAAATTGTTGTAAATATATCTCTAGCATAACTTCTCTCTCCATTTTTTTAAGTTCATGTAATCTTTCTTCAGTGAGAAAGACACTGGTTGTAAACCTGAAAATACTGTACTGTCTTGAGCAGTTTATTCAGACTGACCGTTTTATAGATTCATATTCCTAGATTAAGGCCAGAAGGGACCGTTGTGATCTAGTCCAGGGGTTCTCAAACTGGGGGTTCGGACGCTTCAGGGGGGTCATGAGGTTATTACATGGGGGGTCGCAAGCTGTCCGCCTCCACCCCAAATGCTGCTTTGCCTCCAGCATTTATAATGATGTTAAATACTTTTTAATGTATTTTTAATGTATAAGGGGAGGTCACGCTCAGAGGCTTTCTGTGTGAAAGGGGTCACTAGTACAAAAGTCTGAGAACCCCTGATCTAGTCTGACTTCCTGCTTAACACAGGCCATAGAACTTCCTCAAATTAATTCCTATTTAAACTGCAGTATGTCTGTTGGAAAACATCCAATCTTGATTTAAAAATTTCCCCTTTTTTGATTTTTGCATGTGTTTAGGTTTTTTTTTAAATATATAGCTACTTTTACTTCCCCCTTAAGCCAACTTGTTTTTTTATCATGGCTTTTTGTGCATTTAGTAAAACGTAATAGTTCCCAATTATTATTCACATTTTCCTTTTCAAATTCTTTCTCCCAGCTGATTTGGCTCATAATTGTTTTCAGCTTTGTGAAATTGGCTCTTTTAAAATGGGTGTATGTGTATGTATGTACATACTTGAGGTAGATAATTACACACACACACACACACACACACACTCTCTTTCCTTCCCCATATTGGATTGGAGTTAGGAAATTGTCATCTGTAACTGTTAGGAATTCTGAATGTTTTAGTGCTGGCAGCATAAGACCTCCAGAATGTCACTCAGATTGCAGTCCCCTATGATAGTGCAGTTTTTTTTCTCCTACTTAATCTTATCCAGGTTTGGGGTGGTGTGGTTTTTTTTTTTTTTTGGTGGTCTATAGCAGACACTAGTTAGTATCCCCATTTTGTGCTTTTATTTGTTAAGACATTGATCCATAAGCACCCAAGATCACTTGCTTCTGAGTGGTCAGTGACTCAGGAGAAAAAGGTAAGATAATTTTTGACATAGAGTGCTACTCCCTTTCCCCTCTTGCCCACTCCGTCCCCCCTAAATAGCTTATAACCACTGATTTTTAGCACTCCAATTATATCAATCTTCCTACCAGGTTTCAGTAATACCAACTTGGTGAAATTTAAGCTCATAAATGATCAATTTCTCTTATTACCCAGGCTCCTGGCGTTCATGTATAAGCAACTAAAGAACTTCTCTTCACATCCCTTGATTAATTTTGTTGTCAATGTCTTGATTTTATCCTAAATGTGTTCATTTGTTCCCCCTTTTCACCTTTTCTTTTTGTTATTTTAATGCCCCCCTAAGTAGCCTAACCGGCCTGTCACCTAGAAAATAGGTTCCCCTTCTACTGAGATGGCGTTCCTCCAAATTGTATAGCCCAGTAATTCTCAAACATTAGCAACCCAAGGACCCCCATTTTGATTTTAAAATTTTCATGGACCCCCAAGCTCAGCCCCAGGCCCTGCCCCCAATCCACCCCCTCCTCCGAGTGTGCCCCTTCCCTGCTCCTCCTCCTCTCTCCCAGTGCCTCCTGCATGCTACTAAACAGCTATTCTGCTGCATGCAGGAGGCAGTAGGAGGAGGGGGAGAAGTTGGTAAACAGCGTCGGTGGCCCTGGACATAACTCGCAGATCCTCTGGAGTACCCTTTTGGACCCCCAGAGGTCCGTGGATACCAGTTTGAGAAACCCTGGTATAGCCCCTTCTCTCCATAAAAAAGGCCAGTGTTTCACAAAACCAAACCCTTTATCTTGTACCACTTATCTAGCCAGCAGTTAGTTTCCAGAGATGTGTGAAAACATCACTTAAGTGTCGATTTATAGGCAGGTCTCGTAGCGCAGATCCCAGTATAGTTCTTGTAATATACACAGGACGTTCATTTGGTAGAAACTTGGTCAGCAGCATAAGAGTGGGGCAGGGTTAGGCTCAGCATGATTTCCCCTTCCTCAGCCACATGGGCTGAGGGAGAATGAACAGCACTCCTTGATGCAGTCAGTCCTGCAGTCAGTCCTACAGCCAGTCAGAGCAGGACACTAGTCCACATTTCAAGCAGGACCCCAGACTCTGCTTTCTTCAGTTTGAGCTACTGTATGGATGTTGTTTCTTTGCTCTCTGGCTGTTTAGTTTTGACTTCCCCTCCCATGTTCCCCCTACAGTCCTTTTGCTTCTAGCTTCATTCCCCCTGCCTTCCTTGCTCCTATCCATCCTTTCTTCTTTCTTTCCCTCCCTCCTCTTCAGTGTGTCCCATCCATTCCATCATTTTCATATGCCAGTCATAAATTGACACAGCTGCCTGGCTCCCAGGAGGGAGTGAGGAGCATCGCCCGGGCTTCTTGCCCTGGCTCCTGACCAGGAAAGCCGGGGCAGGCATACTGCAAGAGAGTGAGGAGCAGCTGGGCTCTAACTTCCCAGCTTTCTTGTCAACTTCAGAGTTCTTGCCGTTAAATTGACAAGACAGCCAACAGACAATGTAAGGAACTGCAGTGTCTACAGAGATGCTATGTTGCCCTAACTACCCCAACATAAGCCTTACGCCTCTCCTGGAGGCAGAGTTGTTATTTTGGTGTAGTAAGGCTCTTACATCGGTGGGAGGAAGGCTGTAGTGTAGACACTCACATAATAAGGTCAACATAAGCTGCCTTAAGTCTGTCTAACTGTGTAGTGTAGATCAGTTCTTAAAACTGATAAAGTACCTTCCTTGGCAATCTCGGCAGAAGGGCCAAGGACTGAATGGGTATGGATAGACTGAACTTCCATCTCGCTCCCACAGGCGGTACCTCTGTTTGTGGTGTAAAATACATGCATAGGCGCTATGGGGAAACTTGAAGTGTTGTTGACAGTGCTGTATGTGTTCTGTGGATGAATAAAAGAATCAGTAACTTGGCATGTCAGTCTGGTTCACCAGTCCCATTTCCCCTCTCTTCTCCCCCACAAAACCCCCTAAACTAAAATACCCAATGGGAAATATGCAGGAAAAATTCAAACTGTACCTAGTCCTTAATTTTTTTTGTTGTTTTGAAGTGTGGGAAAGCTTTGCATTGTGTATCCGTTTTCTGTTGCCCTCTGGACACAAGAGAGGCTTTGCTAGTGAGAAACAAAAGGCTTTTAGTTATATGCTTTTCCCCCCTTTCTATGTAGTGAAGTGGCTGATGTGAAAACCGCATTAGAATTTTTAATTGGGGAAAAACCTTCTATAGAACTTTACCACTAAGAGAATAAACTTTTAGTTCTTTTAATTGGGGGGGAGAAATATCAGCTGTCAGAAATGATTGTGAGTGTTCATTTTGTTTTGTTCTGGAACTCATTAGAATTTTTACACAGTGAGGCGTTTCTGTATCTTACTAATTTAGATGTATATCATTCCAGGGTATTTTTGCTCTTTTACAAAACATCTTTTAAACTTTTTTCTTTTTCTTTTTAGAGTTTTGACCCCAAACAGTAGTTTTCAAGACATTTGGATGCTCTATAACTTCCTAATCAGTAATGAGGTATGAAATTTATCTTTTTGAAAATCTTTAATGGAAATGTATAATGAAGATGAATCATAGAACTGGAAGGGACCTAGAGAGGTCATCTAGTCCAGTCCCCTGCACTCAAGGTAGGACTAAGTATTATCTGGACCATCCCTGACAAGTGTTTGTCCAGCCTGCTCTTAAAATCCCCAAATGTCATACTACAGGCAAATGTAGTGAGTTGCCTAACCAGTAGAGCTACCATTCATGGTCCAATTGAGCTAGAATTGTGAAATTTGGTACTCTTGGTCATTATTCGTCATAAAGTCTCAGGGGGAAAAATGTGAACTGTTTCTTTTGATCAGATGTCATTGGACTTTCTAATGGAACTCCAACCATTCAGGTACCCTGTTCAAGCTGCAGCCTTGAAATTTAGGACACTGGTTTATTATAAACTCATTACAGGGAAGTTTTTAAAATTAACAGTCACCAAAATATCACCAGTCTAATAATTTACAAAAATAATCCTAACTTAATCCATTAGGCAGTCATATGGGGCCTGCGGCCTTCAATTTAGAGAAATTAAGGTAATCTGAGATCACCAGTTGTATTTATAGGACTTCAGTTAAAAAGTGTTTGTTTGAAAGTGAGTGCCTGTATGGGTAGCCATTGCCACATGAGTGATGGCTTGTACACTAGTTAACATGAACAACAGTATTCCTAAAAACCGCATTTACACAACACACTAAGAAATCAAACTGTATCTTGTTAGAATATATATGAATATATACACTATGCAAGGAATAAAATATTTCAGGAACAAATTGACAATCCAGCAAAACGTGTCTGTATAAAATTGGAAAGGATGTTGTGACTACAGCTGAGGATGCAAAGTTGGGAGATCTGGGTTCTGTTCCTGACTCTTCCATAGAAATGGGCTTTGTAACCTTGAGTGAGGCTCAACATGTGTGCTCATTTTCCCCATCAGTAAAATGATAGTCACCTTCTATGTTTGTTTCAGTCACTTTCCTGGTAATGTATTGCATGTGTTACTTTTTTTTTTTTTTGGTCTAGGTTCCTAACTTTCTAAATTGTCGATATTTAGATAACTTTTAACTCCTTATTTTGAAGTTGAATTACATCACATGTGGAAATATCAAAACTTAGAAATATATTTTCACACAGAGTACAAATAATTTACATAAGATTTGTAATGAAATTATGTAGTTACTTTGAAAAACTTAATTCTAGGGATAACATTCAATTCTAGCATTGGAATCACCAGTTATCTTACTTTTGGTTGTGTTGCTCACTCTAATAGAGCCAACATTCAAGATAAAATGAGTTATTTTTAAAGTCTAAACTTGTCATAACAGCACCCAATTGGCAACTAAGTTTAAGGAATCAGTGTACATTAGCAGTTTTGCTGCTAGTTCTGCAGGGTTATACAATGGGTGGTGCTATAGGTATATTTGTAATCTCTTCAGGGCTGCTGCCTTGCCCGTGTGTTTTGTACAGTTCTTAGCACAGCTGAGTTCCAGTCTTGATTGGAACCTCTAAGACCTACTAGAATATAAATAACCCTCACCACAACCACATGGGTCAGTTGTTACAGAAAGATGACCCCTAAACGACAACTGTCCCTATTGTAACTAGGTCACTCCTATCCATTATTTGAATTTTTTTCCCTTTAAAAGTGTGGACCCAAAACAGCAACCTAAGGACCCAAACAGAAAAGCAAGTATGTGGTATTGCAGTGTTTGGAATGTTTACATGAAACCCGAAATTCAGAACTGTGTTTATATAGGTCTCTCTTTTTTTTATTTTATTTTTTTAAAAATCTGCCTCTAGGAGCCACTTCAACATCCTTAAAAATCCTGTTACAAAGCAGACAACAGTGTCTCTCCTATCCTGTTAAACCTGTAAAATAGAAAATATTGTTCTGTTGATAACAGATCAGGGACACTGTCGGACACTTGAACTCGAAATAAAAGACTAATGGGTCCATATAAGTATGGGGATTCAAAAAATATGTATTCCATATGTGGAATATAGGCATTTTATTACAGGATGTATTACTATTTTCACATCTACCATGTATGCTTAGTATATTTATGGATTTCAGAGCTCAGAATTCTTTAAATCTTTTGCTATGGAATTGGGGGAATGATTCTTTCTGTACTAGAGAGTTATCTGGAAGCTGCTATAAAAATGCTATTAAATAAAATCAGGATGATACTTACACTGTTAGCTCCAGATTGTTTTGCCCTATCATTCTGAATAGGGAGTACTTGATCTGTACTATATAGTCTGACTTCAGTTCTTTTCCCATTGTCTAGACTTGAGATCGTTCCAGTTAAGTGTGTAAACATTAGGTCCAGTGTATGTTATGTCAGCCATGTGATTTTAATTAGTATGTGATCCTGAGTAACTCTCCCTCTTTCATCTTAGATAAATACCAGCATAAAATTTACTGCTGAGGAACTCTATGAGTGTGTTTCACAGGAAGTGTATAGGTAAGTCAGTGATTGATTACGTCTACTGGATTTCCTTAAACAGTTGTAGCACTATATTTTGTTCAGCTTTACTTTATGGTACTTAGAGATTTTTCTGAGAGAAAATAACCATTATCCCCCTACTATACAAAATAGTTCTTAAGATTTATTGAGGGAGCTGATCTGTTGTTTGCTTCCAACTTACTGTTTTTGATCCACTAAATGTTTGAGTTTTTTCTTAAGAGTTTGTCTACATGCTGGCCCGTATGGACACCACTGGTACACTCTAAATGTCTCCTAGTGCGTATTAATGTAGGCCCTAGAAACTGGACACTAAAGTACACTAAGTGACTTTGAGTGTGCCAGCAGGGTTCATATAGGCCAGTGAGTGCATGACATGCTAGCGCAGACTAGAATTTCACATATTTTAGCACCGACTAATGCACATGTAGACCAGCCCTAAGTCTGGAATAAACTCAGTCCAAAGAAGTAGGTTCTTAGAAGTAAACACACTTAATATAGAAGCTTTTGTTTTGTTTTGTTTTTTAAAAATTAAATTGAAAAAAGAGGTTGAATTGTACAAACATTTGGGGATAAGGGTCACTGGTGTCTAAAGCTTTACCTACACTAGAATTTTGAGCTGCATTTGGCATGGACATCAAGCACTGTTCTTCCCCTACACCTGCTAGTTGCGGACTTTTGTCCTGCTGGTGTGGACAGGGCTAACAAAGCTCAACACCCTGCTAATATAGGTGAGAACAAGAAGTCTACCATGCTTAGTGTTTGTGCACACACCTAGGGTAATGTGCACATTATTTTGGGGGAGAATACTTGGTAAAACAAAACCCTATCCACAGCCATGTTGAAAATCATGCTCTGACAGCCATTTATGAACTTAGGCCCTGATTCAGCAAAGGACTTAAGCATGTGTTTTAAATTGATGTCAGTGGAACGTAAGTACATGAGTAAATGCGTTGCTGAATTGGGAACATAGTTCTAACTGTCACAAATAGAGCCATGGTGTGACCTATCACAGGCAGAAATAATGGAGGCTTGATTGTTGATCTTAAACCAAATGGAGATACTGCCTCAAATTACTTAATTTCCCATCTTTCTCAGTGTGTTTCTTTATATTTGGATCTGAGCAACTGGAAATGTTTAGTGTGTGTGTGTGTGTGTGTGTGTGTGTAGAAATGTTAGAGACAACAACAAGAAGGGGTTCTTCAAATACATCAGCCAAAAAAGAAAGATCAAGGATGGTGTGGGTCCATTGCTCAATGGAGAAGGTAAGTTGGTAATGGAAGATGATAGGAAGGCGGAGCTGCTCAATCCCTATTTTGCTTCAGTCTTTGCTAGTTATCTGGTCACATATTGTTTTTTGGGAGAAGTTACCATAGACAATAAAGGGGAAGGGATGCAGATCGGGATAAGTAAAGAACATCTCAGAGATTTTTCTGACCAATTTGAATGGGGCCGAATGCTATTCACCTGAGGTTATGGAAGGAATTAGCTGAAGAAATCTTGGAGCCACTGGCAATAATATTTATAAAATCATGCATGACAGGAGAGGCAAAGACACTTCTGAGTCAAGAATGGTGATCTTTAACTGGTACACCCAGAGCCTATTTTCAGTATCTTCCATGCATCTCCTTTGTCCTATCCCCTTTTTTCACAAGTAGAAAAGGGATGTATTTGAGTTTTGTGACATCAGTGGCATATTCTGAGCTGTGATGATGGCAAAACAACATGCTATAAAAATGCTAATGCTATCAGGCTCCCTCTTGCAGTAAGGAGATGTAGAAACAATCCCTGTTGGCCCATTGAGAATTGGATATAGCTACTATAAATAGATAGTCCCAGATGGAACTCCTATCCTATTGCACTATTTCTTTGTTAGCGTAAGAGAGCCTGGATGTTAAATCTTGCCTTTCATGTTCATCTTGTCTACTAATCAATTGGCACTACAATATCTTAGGCAGTATTTTAATTAAGTCGGAAGGAAATTAAATATTTGTGTTTGAGTTGCAGATATTTTCCTGAGCTTGTTTCTAAGGAATATCTTAGACTGTATTGTCAAAATCATTCTAATTGCTTTCCAAGTTCATAATTTGTATCGGTATTGTTCACTAGCTAACTTTGTAAATAGACCTGCCCCATGTCATTTGTATGTTGTTGTTGTGTTATTGGCTAGATAAGTGGAGGAAAATGTCTGTAAGGCTGTCTGCACTTACAGCATCATGTCGAGTATGTACACTGCATGCCCCCCCCCCCCCCGCATGGGTATAAATAGCAATGAAGACAGTGACGCACTGCTTAGGCGAACAAAGACATGCCAGAACTTTAGGGTTTGTGTGTATATATATATGTGTCTCTTAATTCCCAGGCCATGCCTCCCCCATCTACACTGGAATTTTTAGCAGTGCAGCATCCTGCTGCCTCCCCACTGAGCCTTTCCCTGCTGCAGAGAGAGGCTCCAGTAGCAGGGAAAGGCACTGGTGGGAAAAGGCAGCAGGGAAAGGGTCTGGCAGCTCCCTGCTACTGGAGCATTTCTCTGCTGCAGTGAAATTTTCCTGCAGATTTCCACTGCCAGAGCCTCTCCCTGCTGAAGAAGTCCTTCACTGCCACATGTTGCTATGTATTGCAGTGTGGATATAGCCACAGTGGAAAGCACGCATGTAGCTACACTTATACTACCTGCCACCACAAGTGTATAGAAGGGCAAAGAGACATAATCAGGCAGTTTCTAACAGTTGTGTTCAAACATAACTATAGTTGGTAATTAGAATGTCTTCATGCATATGCTGTCACTGCTGTAAATTATTCCCAGAAGTCATGTCATACATTGAATGATTTCGCTTTCATAGATGGGCTGTATTGACATGTAATATTCACCTGTTGAAGAGAAATAATGTGTGTGTAAACTATGCAGCACCTGGTTTGAAGTGTTATTTAAGGGAACAGACTTGTCGTGTGCTTATGTGAGTAGGCTGTTTAATGTCCCTAAGTCCTCTGTGATAAAATATTTTAGTAGATCCATGATAAAATGTTTCTTGGTAAAAAAAAAAAAAAAATGTTCAAAATGGCTGGGGGGGGCAGGTGAGGAAATCACTGAAATAGCATTTAACCAGCTTTAGATCCTTAATGTTCCGATTGTTATTGCCTAACAAAACTCTAAATGCAAAATAGTTGCAGATATAGTGTAAATGCACCCTTGCCTGGAGCAGATAACTGAATTTATCTTAAGTAATTTAGTCATTTTAGTCTTGGATCTGCAACTAACTCAATTGCTGTTTCTTCAGGCTGCATGAAAGCATTTAGTTTAAACTTGCAGCTCAAAGTAAAGGCTTGATCCTACAACTCTTACTTGCACTAGTAGTCATTACTTGTGCAAATTGTTTCTATTTACTTCCAGGCACACACTGATTCCAGTGAGTGTGACTACTCATGTGAATAAGGGTTATAGGACCAGGCTCTATATTCAATATCTGTGATCCTATTTGATCTCGACAGAGTTAGCCAAAAACTAACACAACACACATCACTCATTAAAAAGCACAAGCAAGCATCAACAATATGGGTTGTGTTGGAGGAAACTTGTGCTGTAACTGAAATTCCTAGCTACACAGAAAGAGGAGCTACGAAGTGGACAAAGTAAACTGGTGTGATACCACTGATTAATTTAAAACTTGCTGTGAATGAAGAAGCTTAACGGATAAAGAGCCAAAGGATGTAGAGGGTCTGTCTCTTACTCTTTACCCAGGCAAATGCCCACTGCATTCATTGTTTCAAGCATGGCATTAACTTAATCCTACTGTAATATTTGCATAGGCATTTGCCTCATTTGTCCCGAAACGAATAATTATAACCTGTGTTTAAAAAGGGCTGAGATTAATGATCTCCAGTGTTTTTACGTTGCTGCCTTGCACACACAATGCTTAATTCAAGCAGACAGGTATTTTTGGCACTTGGCAAAGACAACATGCTCTGTTAATGCTTCCTGCTCTTGCAATGAGGTAGGAAAGAGCAACGAGCCACTGGCATTTTCAGAACGATGGTCAGGTGTAGATGTAAAATGGAAAAAGGTATATTTCTGCTATGCAGCCTTTAATGTACTGTGATTATGTATTGGGTATTATAGAAGTGTGCGGGAATGATTGTGAAAGTGACTGTTTACAAAACAAAACTTTTCCTACTGCTCTTCTCCGCTCCTCTGTGTCTTATCTGCTGAAAAAATTGAGTTTTATTACTTTGGATAATGCAGAGGTAACATAACAGCCAACTACTGCTTCTGGAATCTTTATTGTAACTATGTGGTATGAGGTAGAAATGTATTCTCCAGCACTGGAAAACTGTATTCGGGATTTGAAAAGCAGTTAGAACGATCTTGTTTTGACTGGTACTTTAGCAGATTTGGGTGCTTGAATGTAAAACCCATAATCCCTTAAATCCTTACTCATGCAGGTAGTCCCAATTAAATCAGTGGGCCAACTCATGTGATTCTTTGCCCTGGACAAGAGTCATTAACAAAATATAAATATGGACCCCATAGATGTCACTATCGTTAACTTTTTCTACCAAAACCATGCTTTAGCCCTTTGTACTTGATTGATTGTTGCATGACTCTTACTGTTTCTGTTTTATATCTAGTAATTTTATTTATTTATTTAATGGCTAGTAATTGGGGCTATTAGAATTTTGTGCTATTTCTATAGCAAGAATCTTTCAGGGTAGTGATATCCGGGCTTTTAGTGATTTCTATGTAATCAGTTGGATGTTGGCTGTGGAATTCCATAGTTTTGGCCATGTCTAGACCTCTGGCTAGGCAGACAGCTTGTAACAATTATTTATGCAATAAATTTGTATGTTAAAGGTGCCGTACAATAGCCTCCTTTGCATAGTAAAGTGAAATAAAATGCATTCTTAAAAAAAAGGGGGGGGGCAGAAACAATCTCCACCCCCAAGATTCTCTTGTGACAAAGTAATGGATGCTCAGGATGTTTAGTTATTCAAGTACTGCAGTGACTAAATAGAAATATACAAGTATTAGTTAGACTGTCTCCAAAGGCTATCTTTCCTTCATTAATGATATTGGAAATGTATATACTGCCATCATTACCAAACTGATGGCTCCATTTATAAACCAGTGAGAACCTCATCCACTGACAGCAGTGGAGCCACTTCTGGCGTGACACTAAGTGACCATTATTTAAATAGCTGTAACGTATCAATTCACAAACAGATGAAAGGAATGTATTTCTGTAGCTAGAAAAAGTCTCAATAGCTGAGCAAAGTGTTGATAGGAAATAAAAACCTAACCGTTCAAATACAGATGGGGTCTTGACTGAATGGTAGGACTAGCAATAGTTTTGGACCATCTCAGCATTACTTGTGGATCTTGTGACAGTTTGACTTTTTGCCAGACTGTTTCCACTCTGCTTTTCAGAGGCATTACATTACCTGTGCATTAGAACAGTGGTTTCGAAAGTAGGGTGAGCAAGATCATCCCTGGGGGTGCACGGCAGGAGGCGCGCTGCCCAAGGAGCGCTGTTGGCACAGCGGCTGCAGCGCTCCTGCACCTTTGATTCTTTGGCGGCATCTCTTCTTCTCCCCCCCCCCCTCCCTTTTTTTTTTGCGCTTCCCTAGAGCTGGCCTGGGGGTGCGCGATCCAAAAGGTTTGGAGACAACTGCATTAGAACCCCTTGGCATCAAGGACATACTGCTGAAATCCTTACTTGGTCAAAATGCACTCTAAATTCATATCAAGTGTTGCCTGGGTAGACGGTGGTATTGGGACTGTAATGCCAATAGGTGTTAGATTTTTAATACTGCACATAATTGCAATGGATGTAGATCTAAGAGATTCAGTGCCAACTGCAACATACTTCATGATAAAACTTCTATTGTAAATTGTTTTGTCCAACTATTATTAGATTTTTTTTCAACACTATGACAAAGCCAGTGTAATAAGTCAAAATAGCTTCATGGACAACAGCCAGAGCGACTGAGACTTATTTGAAGGTAGGGGGGGTGGTGACTGTATGCTGTGTTGCAGGGTGGTTACCACAGAGATATTTGTATAGAATTTCTATGTGGCTGTCATTTTAGAAGATTTATAGTAATCAATAAATACACTGGAGGGTAGGGATAGGATATAGAGGGCCCTAGACAAATTAGAGGATTGGGCCAAAAGAAATCTGATGAGGTTCAACAAGGACAAGTGCAGAGTCCTGCACTTAGGATGGAAGAATCCCATGCACCGCTACAGACTAGGGACCTAATGGCTAGGCAGCAGTTCTGCAGAAAAGGACCTAGGGGTTACAGTGGACGAGAAGCTGGATATGAGTCAGCAGTGTGCCCTTGTTGCCAAGAAGGCCAATGGCATTTTGGGATGTATAAGTAGGGGCATTGCCAGCAGATCGAGGGATGTGATCGTCCCCCTCTATTCGACATTGGTGAGGCCTCATCTGGAGTACTATGTCCAGTTTTGGGCCCCACACTACAAGAAGGATGTGGAAAAATTGGAAAACGTCTAACGGAGGGCAACAAAAATGATTAGGGGACTGGAACACATGACTTATGAGGAGAGGCTGAGGGAACTGTGATTGTTTAGTCTGCAGAAGAATGAGGGAGGATTTGTTAGCTGCTTTCAACTACCTGAAAGGGGTTCCAAAGAGGATGGCTCTAGACTGTTCAGTGGTAGCTGATGACAGAACAAGGAGTAATAGTCTCAAGTTGCAGTGGGGGAGGTTTAGGTTAGATATTAGGAAAAACTTTTTCACTAGGAGGGTGGTGAAACACTGGAATGCGTTACCTAGGGAGGTGGTGGAATCTCCTTCCTTAGAAGTTTTTAAGGTCAGGCTTGACAAAGCCCTGGCTGGGATGATTTAGTTGGGGATTGGTCCTGCTTTGAGCAGGGGGTTGGACTAGATGACCTCCTGAGGTCCCTTCCAACCCTGATATTCTATGATTATCTCTAGTTCTCTTTGTAGCCTAGTCTTTAAATTATGCATCTGCCATCTAGGTAATTGTAACTTCCTCTGCCCATATGCATTTTAAGACTTGCAAAAATTGGTTCCATAAGTTGTCTGTGAGCATTGACATTCCCAATTAGAATGGAGCAAGTAATTCATAAGGAACGTTATTCAACAAATATATTTGTCTGTTCACATATTCTGATGAGAAAAGTTACAATCTGCTCAAAATTATTTGCTGAGTTACTACTTCAAACAATTCTTGGTATGTAACTCAGTTGTGGCGGTTTGTTACAAGTATGAGCTATTTTGACTGGATACAGAGGACCTATAATGTGCTCCTTTTCCCAGTTGGCTCAGTATCTTAGCATCCCTTGCACAGGGCATATTCTCACTAGCATGAATTTAAAATCTGTGAGAATCAGTAATAGCTTGTTACTGTTAGTTATTTTTGTGGATATTCGTGCTGGTAAACGTGTTAAGATTAATATTTTAATTTGCTTTGAGTCTTAATTTTCTTCCAGTAGTGCAGCAAAATACATTTTGAATATACTGTGGGTTTTTTGTTTCAGTATTTGCCAGCTTTACTAGTGACGTGAAGCTAAAATAGCGTGAGATCCACCACTTAATATCCAACACAAGATCAAGTTAGAAAGAACACTTAAGACATACAGATGTCAGATCTAGCAAAATAGCTAGCTGCCTTAGGAAAGGTTTAGCTGTTCGAATGAAGTTTAAAAGAGCATCTCTGTGTGGTTTTGTGAAACCCCAGGGGAGGGGGAGCAGAGGCTACCTCAGTAAAAACTATGAAACTCATTGACTTCTTTATTTTTTTTACAGCCACACCAAATATGTATTCAGACTTTTTTTTAACAAAAATTGGAAATCAGGCAATTTATTCTCTCCTCTAAAAACTTATTACCTTTCTCAGACAAGGGGTCTACTCATAGTCTGAAAGGCCTGTGTGTGTGTCTGCAATGGATACCATTTTAAATTAAAACTCAGCAGTTGCCACTCTGCATACTCAGTGTGTTGTTTAAAATAGAAGTTACTCTGATTGCTGCAGGTACCTAGGGTTTAATACCCCTTAGAGCAGATCCTCAACTGCTGTAAACTGACAATGTAACTTCTACAATTTTCACCAGTTGACTATCTGCCCATTGTATGTATTGCTTGTGTACTGTGTTAAGGAGGTATTGTAACAGGCTCCTGTTTCATCTACATGAGCTACAATTAAACAAACAAAAACAAAAAACAAAAGTGAAACAAAATAAATTTTGAACGATCATTGGTTAACACTAGAACAATGGGTCCTCAGGATTCCTTTTCAGAAACACAGTATAAGTCATACAATACCTATACTCTGAATGAGCAGTATTATGTCTAAACTAAATGTTAATGATTGTACTAACAGAATCCCATGAAAGTTAAATGCCTAATTTGAGAATACACACACTCCACTTATTATTTTCTAGACTGAGGGAGAGGGCAAAAGAAGGTCACAGATTTGTCTGTAGCATCGGGGCAGCTTCTAGCTCCAGTAGCTCTAGTGCAGCGGTTCTCAAACTGTGGGTTGGGACCCCAAAGTGGGTCATGATCCCCTTTGAATGGGGTTGTCAGGGCTGGCTTAGACTTGCTGGGGGGCTGAAGCCCAAGCCCTCTGCCCAGGGCCAAATCCCAAGGGCTTCAGTCCTGCAAGACAGGGCTCAGGTTACAGGCCCCCTGCCTGGGGCTGAAACTCCCAAGCTTCAGCTTTGGCTCCCCAGAGCAGAGAGGATCAGATTTTGCCACACCCCAACCCCCAGGGCAGTGGGCCTTGAGCAGGCTCAGGCTTCAGTTCCCCCCTCCTGGGGTTGTGAAGTAATTTTTGTTGTCAGAAGGGGGTGAGGGGTCACGGTGCAATGAAGTTTGAGAACCCCATATCTAATGGCTAGGTAGTTAAGTTCCACTGTATGCTCTTTTGCTGCAGTTGAGCACCAGGGCCATACAATGATCAACCTTTATAAACTTTCCAATGATCTCAGATGAGGTTACCATAAAAACTGAGATGTTTACTGTAGGGAAACAGAAAACACAGCAAATAGGCTTTAATTCATCAAGGTACTGTGCCTAACTTCATGTGTACAAGTAGTCTCACTGAAGTCTGAGACTGCTCACATACTTAAGCCCTTAATTTTAAATTCCTTATGGAAATGTCTGTTATGAGGCAATTTTAGGAAAAACTGAAGACAAAATCAAAAGTAAAGGAAAAGGTGACTTGTGGAATTTACATAAATTGTTTTAATTCAAAAACAGCTTCAGTGGAAAAGAGCTTTTAAAATCAAATCTGTAGTTTCAATTGCATACATTGGGCAACTTTATTCCATGTACATGACTGTCTAGGTAAATGTTAATTCCATAAATATGGTGATAGTGATTTCTGTTCTTGCAGCATGCAGCTGGGGATGGGAATATTTAGCTTATTTTGAAACTCACTAATATTACTACTTGAAAGATTAAAACAATATATAGATAAAGGATGGCACTTTTAGCAGATGTCAAGATTGCGTGCACAGCCTCTCTGAAAATACCATGTTACTTCTAAAAATTAACACTTTGAATAACAATATGCAGCTTTGCTCTCAAAATAGACATTTTATAAGTTACTGACTGCTGACAGGTTGGTTTAATATACATCTTTTCTTTTCCTTCTAGAGAGAGGTTAACAGTTGGATGTTGCCAACTGGCACAGCTGGAATACACTATTACACAATGCAATGCATCTGTCCACATGGAGGCCAAAAATAGGGGCTGGTTATGATACTACAATCAAATTCAGGTTTTGAGTTAGTGTTCTCTCCCCCCTTGAACTTCCCCTTCCTTAAATTGTACTCTTTTTTTAAAAATAAAATGGAAGCTTTGTTAGAACAACCAAAATCTAGTCATTTTTCTCTGTGCTGTTTAATTTACACTTGAATCTATTTCCTGAATTAAATGTTCCCCCCCCCCCGACTCAGCTAGTAACAGGAGTCCACCAGCAGCATTAATTGTTGGCATTCATGTTAAATCTCATCTTCCAGAGACGAACACTTAACATACATCAACTATTTAGACAACTTTAATTTAAAAGTGCAAAAAATAAAGCGTGTTTTTGTATAGTATAGAAGACCGCCCTATAAACACCTCCCTTCTATCACAAACAAAGCAAGAAAACGGTGTGGTGCGAAACAGAGGTTCAAGACCAAATCTACAAAAGCTATTGTGCTCAAACACCTTTAAGTACAAGCCTGAGGGAAAAATTTTTTTGGTCTGCCTAAAACATGACAGGCAAAATGGAGGAAAAAATAGATTTCACCAATTTAGAAAGAGTTCAGTGATCAACTTAGTAACACTCAGACCAGTACATACAGCAAAGGGCTGAGAATTTCCTGTCCTTAAGCAAAGAAGATGTAGGTAAGATCTTAGTGTTTCTTATTAGGTGTACGAGTTAAACAGGTACTAACAAGTAAACTGCTTACACACACACACACCTTTTCAACCTACCTTTATCTATAAGGGAACTTCTTTTCTACTGCTGGGCACCTTCAAATGATTTCCCTTGCTGCTGTTCAAGTTGCACACATTGCTGTTGGAATGTAATTATAACCAGATTGTTTCCTGAAACAGTTCACAGCTATTCAGTTTCTCTACAGCTAGTTACAATACTTCTACCCTTTAACACTACCTATTTGCTTGTACAGAGACCAGAGATACCTGTAAAACTGTTTCACTGATTTTTTTAACAGCTTTATTGGAAGTATAACTTCTTAATAAATAGGGCTGTTCAAAATAGCACAATCTTCACTTTATGTAGATGCAAATGGGTCCAATCACTTATAGAAAACAGCAGGATGAGATTTTATTCGGGTCTTGATAAAATCTGGCAAGCAAATTCTACCACCTTAGGGGGGAAAGGTTTCTTTTGTTCATATTCTTATATACTATTCTATGTACTGAATTCACAAATGTCTCAGAAGCTGTTACAGTACAGGCTCTGAGTTGCAGAAAAATAATTGTTTTTAAAAATACCTTGCTACCCTATTCTGATTGTTCTAATGTGTACCCAGTATGCTTGGGGTAAAAAATTCAGGATTGTTCATGACATACTGTCAATGATGTTGTCCTCAAACACTGACAATTTCATTCTTCAAAGCAGCAGTAGTGGGTCAGGAATGCATCACAGCATGTATTTTACATATACATACTTTTTTTCCCCAGGCCTGCTAAAAGTTAAAGAGCTCTCAGTAATTTTCTGACCAGTTACTAAAACTGATTTAATATGGATGAAGGTCTGTCATTAGCCAACAATACCTAAGCAATGTTCAGTTCATGGGCATTATGACATTTGGGTCCACCTCTCAAATATCCCACCATAGTTAGTTCTAGTGTGTGGAGTATCATTGCTGTACAGACTTGGAAAGGAGTAAGATTGACAAAAGCTGGGGGGTGCTCACTGTGGAACATTAGACCTAAGCCTAGGCTAATTTAGTTGTATGGATCAGAACTTTAACTTAAGTTTTTCTGACTACATTTTACTTAGATTTGGAAGTGCTATGCTTTAGAATAATGCTGAATGAGCCACATTAAGTTCAGTATTAACCAATTGTAGAAAACCTGGTCAGTCATTTTGCTGTGAGAAAAATATATAAATAAAAATAGTAAATGAAACAATGAACTCACTACTGTGGCACTTCTGGGTACTGCTGATGGCTAATTTGGCTGCTGAGGCCTGAATATCACTGCTCTAGCAAATCCTAAACTTTTGCTTTTAGTGGGTAGGTTCACTTCCATTTGTGTTGCATGATGATTTATCTTTTAAATAAAGAGCTTGTTAGTGACCTGTGAACAAAGCCACAACTACAACATTGATAGTAATTCTGTGGTGCAAGGATTTCCTGAAAGGTACCTTTTAATGTGTTTCCATCAGCAGCAAGCATTAAGTGCTAAGTTTGGCACCAAGAAAGTTGGATGTGCAGCACTACACATTAGACAGACACCAAGTCATCCCAACCAACACTTTTACATATGAATAGAGAAAATGAATCAAACCATAATACCGAGTGCTTATGAAACAAATTAAGTACTATTCATATTATAGCACATTTGTCAGCTTGCACTACTAGAAAAATAAATACCATTTTAAGAAGTGTTTATCACCCACTAGTAATATTCTAAAACCATGAACACTTCAGGCTTTACAAATATTAGCTCAACCCTTGTAATAAAACTGCTGTACAGAAAGCACCTTCAACAGGTGTCAAAATACTGGGAGCTAAAATGATTTTTAAATAAAAATTCAGTTATGTTCAGAAACACCATTCAAATTTAATGATCAGTGTTGCATACTAAAGTACAATACTGTTGCAGAGGCAAAAGCTTAGATGCTCATGTACAGTGGTAAATTAAATATCCCACTCCATCTCTATGAACGCCAAGATTGTCTCTCTGCCTCAATAACTATCTGCCACTTTCACTTCAACAGGTAATATTCTGCTGAGTATATAAAAAGTTATAAAAAGACAATCATAAAAGGTTAAGTAGTGGCAGGCATGTCAACTTTAATAAAAAAAGCATTGTATATGTTAAATAAGGCTTCTTGTTACAGACTGTTCCAGTTACTGGGGTGTGGGGGAGCCTGAAAAACCAACTGTCTATAACCAAAAACCCTATTCTTCCTGCCCCAAACACACATTCTAAGGGAAAAAATGTGCAAATTGGCAAAACAAACACTGGGGGGGGGGAAGCTCTTGAAATGATATGCCCAATCAGTTCTTAGTTTCTCTTGCAATATTATCAGTTTCCAAAATTTAAGTAACAAAATCCAAAAATACACAACACCCTTCATCTTTCCAAAAAAAGTATATACAGCACATTAATAGTATGCAATATGCAAAAGCTTTGTGTTGCTGTTGGCAACTTCTATACCCTCCCCTACCCTACTGACATGTACCTCTACTAAAACACAATTACATCACTAAGCCTGTTAGTTTGCCAGGGGCACTTAAAGTGGTTAAAATTTGTAAGTTTTTGTATATGGGCTCCATTCATTTGACTCTGGGTTGTAGATTTCAACTGTATTCAGGAATTCATTGCCATCAAATCCTCCAACTGCATAAATGGTGTTTGCCACAGCTGCAATACCAGCATTGCTTCTTGGAGTAGTCATGTTTCCCATCATCTTCCATTCATTTTTAGCAGGGTCATACATCTCCACACAACTGACAGCACGAGAACCATCAAAGCCTCCACCAACAAAGAGTTTTCCTATTTAAAAGGGAATGAAAAGTTTAACCTCTTATGTTCCATAAGCCTCTACTTCATGAGCCTCTACTTGTGTACATTTGTGAAAAATAAATTATTAAATTAAGTCAACATGAAGGGAGGTTGAAATCTAGGAAAAGGGGTTTTGTGTACTCCCAATACCACCAAACTACTTGTGCTCTCTTGGTTACTAACACCGGTTTTCTGTACTTATTTCAGAATTACTTCCATAACAGTTTCCCATTAGTGTTCGAATGTTGTTTATCTAGATAATGGATGCTGATGATTTCACTAGATACAACTTCCATTGTCTGAAGTCCTTTATAAAAATCAAGCCCAGGAAGCATGTGGAATGTCGTCGTGTGTCCCCCGCCCGCCAATCCTTTGCTTAACTGGCTGAAAGATTCGAAACTTACCATCATGAACAGCCACTCCAGCTCCACGCCTAGCCACATTCATAGGTGCAATCAGAGTCCAGGTGTCATTCTCTGAATTGTAACGCTCTACACTGTTCAGACAATTCCAGGACTCTGCTCCTCCAATTATATATAAATATCCATTTAGCTCACATACTGCAGATTGATGTCTACCTACAAATCAGAAGCCAGTAGTTATATCCGGACCCCAAAAAACCACAAACCCATCACTCCTAAGACTTCAGCAACACAGACTTGCTAGTGCATGGCAGCTACCTTTTTTATTAGAAATAAAATATGCACATAGGCAGCAACATTAAAATTCTCCTTTAAAAACAGCGCAACAAACTTACGAATGTTAAGTGGAGCACAGCTTGTCCAAGATTTTGTTATAGGATCAAACACATCACAATTTTTCAGTCCCTTCCGCCCATAAGGATCTGAGCCACCAACAACGTACAGCTTACCATTCAAAGCACATACTCCTGTTTGTATATAAATAAAAGTGATTATCATCTAATAAATTAGTAAGGAACTAAACAGCCACAGTCAACAAAACAGCCATTACCTGCATTGCAACGACTGGTTCTCAGTTCTGGAACAGGAGTCCAGTCATCTATTTCTGGATCATACATTTCCCCACAACTCAAGTCATCAGAGTGGCCATTTGATCCCCCTACAACATACAGCTGTCCCTAAGTGGAAGAAAAAACAACCACTGTTTCACATGTGAATTGAAATTAATTCTGTTCCATAGCAATTCATTGGTATTAATTACAATTACTCAACTGCTAGCAACAGAAATTGCAAGGGGAAGTCCCGATGTACAAGAACAATTAAGTTATCAGTTAAATATGATGTAGTTTACCGCGAACCTGTATGTTTCTTTTAAGGATTGACAAATCCAGCTTTTCAAGATACAACCCCAGAGATGTAACCAGATACCAAACAAGACTAGTGTATCAGCATTTATTACTGAAACTTAAGTTACATTTTAAGAAAAACGGTCTTTCTGCATTGTCAGGGATCTCTGCATCTGTAATTGAACAATATCTTTATCATTGCTGAACCTCCTCCTCAAAGGCTGGAGCTACCAAGGAGGACACTGCAAATGAAGAAAAATGTGAATGCTTGACAGAACTATTTCCAGAAGTCTCTAGGGTCAGCTCTCCTCAGCACAGCATGTTCTAATGGACACAGTTTAAACCCCTCTATTTAATTATTAGTTAAACCGAGAAAGTGTTTTCTTCACTAATTCCCATACAAGCAAATAAAATCCCTCCTGGCCAAACCTATAGAATTGGCTGCTTTTGAATACTGAAACACTAACTGTCCCACTTGGCAGATGGGGCATGAAATCATAATATCCTCTGCATAGCTGCAATATGTCTTTTTGAAACACTATCCTAGAAATTCTGAATACCTTTCAGTGGATTTGTGGACATTTTAGATCTAAATCCGTTTGTCCCATCCTTACTTTCTCTCACAAAATCCAAATCTACATGGGCATTTATACATCACAAGAAAATGCTTTTTTTTTTTATCTGCACATACCATTAGAACTGCCATCTGGAATCGGGCTCTTGGTGTTCTCATAGGTGCGATAAAAGTCCAACGGTCCTTTCGTGGATCATAGCACTCTACCGTGCGCAGACATTCCTCTCTGTTATAACCACCTAACAGTAAGCCACAAGAAATCACATGCAAGGAGTTTATTGGGAATCAAAGTAAGTCTTAAACATTGTTTACTAGCTTCATTAAAGTTAGCATAGAATCTATGAACCTTGTTCAGATCACTTTGTTATGGAAGGTACTGTATATTAGACATGGTTCAATCCATACAAGTTTGGGCTTTAATTATTTTAATGGTATTTTTACCTGCAGCTATTAGCTTGCCATTAAGTTCCGCTGTTCCCAACCCAGATCGAGCATACTGCATTGGAGACAGGGGCTTTTCTATAAGGTCATCTGGTTGAATCTCAAAACTCATGCTCTTCAGCAGTCGTGGAGTACTAGTTGGAGAGCTCTGAGGGCTGTTACGCCCATGAAGAAAAATCACACAGAACACACCATCCAAAACAGCAAGACACAGGTAGGTATTACCTGAAAAACAATTTTTAAAAACTTTTCTATATATTTAAAATAACTAGTGGCTTCCAAATATAAGCCTATACTTAACCCTAACAAGTCTGGATATTCTAAAATATTAATACAGTTGAGATTTACAGACTCCAAATTCACTCCAGTTATACAGACGCACTGTATCAGACAACTCAATTAAGATTCTACCTAAAAAAACCCATAAATCAATCTGAAAACATTTTAGGTGGAAGTCTCCCCCCACCCAAGCACAAAATAACTTCTGTTCATGGTTCACTCGTAAATAATGCACTTGTCCACCTTCCTCACAATTCACCAAAATGTTCCATCCTTGGCCTCAAAATATCTGGGCTTTGATCTCAGCTGTGCTACAGACCTGAGTGACTGTGGGCAATTCACTTTATCTGCTTCTCTACCTGTAAAATGGGGACAATACTTCCCTATCCCATAGGGGTATTGAAGGAAATTCATTAATGTATGGAAGGTGCTCAGATGCTATGATTATGTGCAACAGGGAAAACCCTAAACAAAAAAAATGTAGACACTTACTTGAAGTCTTTTCGGAGGCAACAATTTTCCATTCATGTTTAGGACTCTGTACAGTAGCATTTGGAGAAGAAAAGCTTCCAGAGGAACTGCTACTTATCTGCTTGTGATCGTTCTCACGTGGTTGCTTTTTCTGCAAAATCAAAAGGCAGCTACAGAACCCTAGCCAGAGACCACACCTTGATCTACCTTTACTTCTCTAAACTAATCCACACAACTGAGGAAAATGCTTGATCGTTTCCACCTCTGCAAAGCATCATTTATAGCACACCTAAATTTTAAATAGAATTGCTTACATAATTAAAACACCTAAGTCGATTTACTCCCACCTTAGTATTTATTTCATCTCATACCACTACCTGAGCCTCTATCACAGACTCAGCCTTAGAAATCATATGCCTCTGAACTCCTTTTTAGAAGTCAAGCATGCACTTTCACTAGACAAAGCGTTTTCACACTTCCTGTATCTTCCAGATTAAAAAACAAAAAAACCCCAAACAAACCCACATTCTTTGCCAGGCTTAATAAAATGGAAGTATGCATTTTCAAACACTCTCAGAATTTGGGCTAAGCCTACAATGCCCATTTCTGATTGGTTTTTAATAGATTCCTATTCCTCAGATTAGAGGCCCTTTCACACAGCACAGTCAACCTGTGGAACCCATTGCCTGGGGATGTTGCGATGACCAAAACTATAATGGGGTTCAAAAAAGAATTAGATAAGATAATGGAGGACAGGTTCATCAATGGTTATTAGCCAAGATGGTCAGGGACACAGGCCAATGCTCTGGATGGCCTTAAGGCACCGACTGCTAGATGCTGGGACTGGACGACAGGGATGGATCACTCAATAACTGGCTTGTTCTGTTCATTCCTTCTGAAGCATCTGGCATTGGCCACTGTTGGAAGACAGGATACTGGACCAGGTGGACCATTGGTCTGACCCAATATGGCTATTCTTGTGTTCTCCATCTAAAATAAGTGTTTGTGATTTGGCTTCCAGTTGTCTTTATGATCCTGTTTAGTGATTTCTCTGATCTTACTTTTCTTATGCTAATACTTTGCAAGGAAGGGTTATTTTCTTGAGTCTCATCCCGAGTATAGTTTATTCAGTATTTCACTTTATAAGCTATTTATTTTTCAGACTTAACAGATATGGAGGAAAAAAAACTTATTTCAGATCACATCACTGACAATGTTTGAAGTAGAAGCCAGGTAAAGAGCAAAAGTCCAACATTTATCAATTCTATTAATTCAGTGTAACAATGTTCTAAAACCCCACAGGTGAAATTTACACCTGTGCGGACCCTTGAACTGTATGGTTTTTCATATTAAGAAAAGGTAGCCAGATTTGTAAAATACTAGCTCCCAATCTAAGATTATCCATAAGCTTTTCCACCAAGAATTTCCCATACTCTGCACTGAACCATATATATATCACATGGCAAGGCTCTGTCATCTGCCAACATTCTTTTACTTTACGTTGTAACAGACCAACTACCCAACAAGTTATATGTTTCTGAGGAGACCAAACAATGTATTTGTTTTTGTATCTCAACTAAAACGGGTCTGGTCTTCTTTCCCACCTCCCCATTATGGTGAAACTATTTCAGTTTCAAGTATTAAATCCCACCAAGGCATTTTTTACAGTTTTTTGTATACATACATGGATGTCCCTTAAATTATTTGAAAAAAGGATATTTAAAGATTGAATTAAATCCTCCATGATAGTGTATCTAAAAATTATTGCTGTACACAATTTAAACATATTTGCCCTAGTTTCTGCAAATATGAAAAAAAAAAAATCAGAGTTAAGTTTACTTTGGTCCTTGGCTTCCAAGTATGAGAACTGCCAATAGATATTTGATCTACTGAGTCGGAACAAAATTAATCCAATAGAATCATTAAATACCACTGAGGCAAACGGGGTTTATTTACTCAACTCTTCTCTTTACAGATTTTCATTTTTAAAATCCATGCTCTATGCAACCATAAATGTATTTTTAAAGTTTACTTAAAAAAAACTTTACCAAAACCAGATTGCTTCTGTCTGCAATTCTCATTCCTATGACTTCAGAAATCAAAGTAAAATTGCATTTAAACTCAATATATGAGAACTAGAGGCAATTCAAATTTGGACACAGTAATTCTTATTTGGGTCTATCAGCCCATCCATTTCTTTTTAAGTTCCTTTCTTGAACTCGTTAAAAAGTTTGGCGGGTGAGAAGATAGAAGTGGGAAGATTCATGAACTTGGCATTTATAAAATCAAGGACTAACCACAATAGCTGAAGACAAATGAACATGCTTTCCTGCGCAACTCTTCCAATATACCTCTGCTCTGGCTTTCAACCTCTAACTATTCCATACTTCTGCTTCTTGCTCAAACTAATAATTGTGCAAAGTTGTCTATTTTTTCAAGGATGTGAACAAATAAGAACTAAGATTAAATCACCAAATTCAATTTAACTTGTGACTTATGCCTGAATTTAAACACAGATGAAAGCTGAATATCTATTACATCACTCTTCTGGCTCTACAATCAAAAGAATTTACTGCCTCCTTTGCAAGTCCATGCTTACACATTGTTAGATTTTGCGCAGAGAAATTTCTCTAGAATTCCTTTAATGCCTGGCTCCTCTTGCATTCAGTCTGCACCCTCTTGTTTTTAGCCAATTAACTTTTTCAGTCATGGCATCCACATCTTCTAATCCATATGAACTGTGTAAATTAGACACTCCCACACTCTTCTCAAGCTATTAATATTAAATTTGATTTTTCTAATATTTCTATTATAGCATCTCTTGTACTTGCCTCCCTCTTCTGTATCTTTTCAGTTCTTTCATAATCTGGGTTTTGTTTTTAAAAACACACATTTAGCACTGAAATTAGTACGGTTAACAACAAGATGAAGCAAGTGAACCGCCAATACCAAAACAGAAGCTGTTTCTGCAAAATGTTTTCCTATCTGCATTAATCATCGAGATACTGCTTCTTCCCTTTACTATAGTACACAAGATTTTAGGTGTGCTATAAATTGCTCTAACCAAATTTGTACCTGATGAAACCTCAGACCATGTGCACTTTGTACCTGCACAAACTGAATGTGGTCATCATCACTGCCATACACCTCAGCCTGTCCATCTAGTAGATTTCCATCAAGCAGCTTGTGATCAGCTGAGTAGTACAACGTTTGAACCTGCAAAACAGGAACAGAATACCCATGTGGCTGCTGTCTCCATAGCTACTTAACAACAGGCAGATTTACACAAACTCCAGAAGGTCCTCTCCAGCACAGCTCGTCATGTCATCTCATCTTAATCTAGTAGAATGGCAAAATTAAAAGGAAGCAGACGTCATGGTGAAAGTCTTCAAATATCGGCTGAACGATCCTTGATTTATCAGCTTGAAAGAAATCTTCATTTTTCAAGGACTTCTATTATTTACCAGTACAGTAACTAATATATATCACAAGTACAATGTACATTATCTTTCAGAATAAATTATACAAATCCACAATCTCATGCAAGCACTCGTTATTCCCTGCAAACAAGTTTTCTGAATTGCAAACACAATGCTTTCTGTGCCCCCCCCCAAAAAAAAGGGAGGGGGAGGGGGCATGTGAAGCCAAAGATTGGATTCTAAAAAGGAAAGTAAGGAATTGGAAGAGGGGATCAAAAATGTAAGTTCTGGAGAAAATGTTGCCCATGATTTGTTACCAAATGCAATACATTAATCAAGGACACCTGAGTTGCAAATGGGAAAATCAGAGCATTTTAAAAAATAACTATTGAAAGGGGAAACATACATGTGAGAATATATTTGACAGTATAAACATGTACTTTTGCCTATACAAAAGTATTCTGATTATCTACCTTGCCTGGAATAACAAACTGGAAAGATTTTATGATGAGCAACAGGTTTTGTGAAACTTCATTTTTCCAAGCAAGTTAAAAATTTAGAATTCTGCTACGATTTCCATCAAATGCAGATATTAAAAAAATTGCCCACAGTGTAACTGTTCTAGCGGTATTCATGAGTAAAGCCATTAAACAACACACAAAACATTAAAAATAAGATATCCTGTAAAGGAGTAAGTAAACACCATTAAATCATCATCATCGTTCTCTGCCCACAGCGGATTTTCTTAGGAGAACTGGGGCAGGACTGCTGCTTCATTACGTGTCAATACACTTGAGGTTTCTTCTTGGTTCTTCAGCCTTGGTATCCTAGTTTTGTTAATAAACCTATGGGGAGATAAATCAATGGGGAGGAACAACCATTAGAAGCTTTTACCTACTTCTCACTAACAAGCAAAAAAACCTGTGGAAGAAAACATTTAAGAATCTACAGCAAGTTTCAGTACCACCTCCCCATTTCCAAAGCAAAGTTAAATGCACTTTGAAGTTGTTAAACAGCACACAGTGAGAAAACAAAAACAAAAAAGGAAAGCAGAAGACCAGACTGAACAGTTCATTCAGCTCACCTGGACACCCCCCCCGTTTCTCAGCTTATGGGTACCTATAGTAAAATTTAAATTCTTTAGGGTCATGGTTAAAAAAATAAAAGAAAAAAGGGATCATCTTTCATGTCACAGAAGTTTAATTTTTTTAAAACTATTTAATCCCATTTTCTTAAAGACTAACCTCTTCCATTAGATCTTCCAGACTGTCTCCATTTTCCCAGATGCTGCGCTGCACCCAGTTGATTACCTTTGTGTATAATTTGCCATTGCTAGGCAAGCCAACATTGTCTTCAAGCATTACTTCAAGCTTGAGTTAAAAATAAGAATAGTTAGTGTCCATCTTACACTACTGCATACAAGTTATAAGTTTACAGCATGTCAGTATTTTACTGAAGTTAATTATTCCTAAAGAAATTAAAACACGACAGAATTTTCTAGCTCTGCATACTGAAAATGAATGCATATACTACTCTTTACCATTCCACCAATGGTCAGCCCCTGGCTGTTTTCCTACACCCTGGCAACAGAAATGATAATTTTGCATCCTTTAATTTTGACTTAATATCTAAAGTCTTCTCAGAATAGAAGACCGCATGTATCATGCGCAACCAAGTGTCATGGCACCAATGAATGTAATCTAATGAAGACTTCTAACAGAAAAATGTTATATAAAATGCTAGCATATGGTGTTAAACAATTTGAAAACTACTCTGCAAACTCAGCATGTGTGAAAAGAAAAGGAGTACTTGTGGCACCTTAGAGACTAACTAATTTATTTGAGCACAAGCTTTCGTGAGCTACAGCTCACTTCATCCGATGTGACGAAAGCTCATGCTCAAATAAATTAGTTAGTCTCTAAGGTGCCACAAGTACTCCTTTTCTTTTTGCGAATACAGACTAACACGGCTGTTACTCTGAAGCATGTGTGAAATGTTTCCACCATTGAAAAAGGAACCAGCGATTTTTACTGTTTACCTTACTATGGCTATTAGCCAGTATGTGCAGTGGCAGTGTCCCTAGCCTGTTTCCCAGAAGTGGGAATGAGCAACAGTGAATGGATCACTTGATGATCACCTGTTCAGTTCATTCCATCTGGGGCATCTGGCATTGGCCACTATCAAAAGACAGGATACTGGGCTAGATGGACCTTTGGTCTGACCCAGTATGGCCGTTCTTATGTTCTATCCCTCATACCTTAACTACCTAGGTTTATTTCATTACAAGATTAAAGAAACAGCTTTAAATTGCTACTAACCTTTAACCGTGGAAGCTTGAGAAATTCCTCCTGTTCTGAAATCTGCAACAAATGTTCCTGAATGTAACCATCAATCTTGTTCAACAAACGTGAGTCTCCCATACAACTTGCAAAGTTCCGGTAAGAGATGCAGCTCTGAACGTCCATCTTAGAGAGCAAGTAATCACCACAAACCTTTAAAAAAAATTGAGTAATATCCCAAATTTACTAGTAGCATATTACACTTTTATACATACATTTCTTTTTCAACATATGGCAAACACTTAATATGAAAGATACCATAGAAAGGGAGCACAGTATAGTTATGATACAGATTTTCTGGTCAACTCTTTCAGAAAGGCAACATTTCAATCTCTAGTGGTTTTGTTAAATAAAATCTACCTGAGTACTTATGGCCTCCACATTATATTATCTAAGCACCTATCAAGGTTCATATTGTTTATTCTTAAATGAATTTGTAGCCTGTCTCCCCTATCGAATGTGTTGTTTACAAACAGACTGCCAACAACCAGGAATTTGAGAGTCAATGGGGATTATTCATATTCATATATGAGTTACAGTTTTTCAGGCCAAACTATGCCTTCTCTGCAAGCTCAGTGCCTTCAGTGGACTTGCACGGATGTAACTGACTGGAATTAAGTCAACAGTTCTAGTGATAACACACCAGTACAGAATCCGTTTCTGTTATCTTGGTTCGACAGCGTTAACAGGTGTGGAAGTCGTAAGCACCTTTCTGTCACTAAAAATCAGTACATATGATTTTGAGTACACAAAGAACAGATTGCCTGAGCGACAAGTAGTCATTTTAATCACTTTTCCACAGTATAATCTCACTTGAGTGTCCAGTTCACTTTAAATATAGTGTTCTCTCTGCCACTCAAAGGTTAATAATGGGACTGCTGTAGTAGCTGCAAATTATACCTGCTTGACTCTCTCCATCTTCAGCTTCTTTGCTGCAGAGTATACATCTTTTACTAGCTCTTTATCAGCTTTCAACCTATTAAAGAAATTTAGGTGTTATTCTAAAATAAATAATATTAATATTTATCTCTTATTACTTATTAGCAAAGTAATACTCACTGAGCGGTGTAGGCATAATTTAATAAGACTTCAACGGCTTGTGGATTGAGATCATCAAATTTAACATGAGAAACTCCATGAGAATCACTATCACTGTTGAAGATTTCAAACAGGTAGGGACTGCAGCAAGCTAGGACTGCTCTATGTGCCAACATCTCATGTCCACATACCTTTATTTTAAAAACATACATGAGAGGACAGTAAAAAATTAAGAATGTACATTACAAAAATGCAAAGTATTATGCAGTCTTGTTCATAACTATATATTAGAAAAATTATTTTATCAATATACTTTTTTTTCAATTTGCACCAGATGAATTAAACGGCTACATTTTCAACTATCAATATATGGTTTTTAACTATATTTCTCTGAATTTATATCCCATGGAAAATCAGATTCTAAAGTCTTAAGAGTCACAGAATCAATGTATACAGACAACAAAGAGCACTGTTTAAATGTTGCACCCAGATGACACTTTGTAACCTACCTGAAGCCGAACATCACAGAACTGACCACTTTTACGCAAGGCATTTAATTTGGCAACAGATGACTCTATGAAGTTTTCATCTTCAAACATCAAATACCCATTAGGAATCATTTTGCTGTTGATTTGGCTGTCCAAAAAAAAAAAAAAAAAAGTAAGCGTCTTTCAATTTGTAAAGTTTACATACACAGCACCAAAGTGTATAAATTATTTCCTTATTACCAGCTCCTTCTTTCTTTGAAAATATATAGACGCTTTGTTTGATGTCAATAAAATAAAGAGCAGTGACCCATTTAAAACTAGACTGGACAAAATGCACTGGCAGGGGGAGGATAACAGCTCTTTTCCATCTCTAATTTCTATGATTCTAAGATTCGTGCTGTTTGTTCCTCTGAACTAATTTCCCCTGGTTCTCTGGACTCCATGCCATGCATGGTTCATTAGGTCTGCACAATATAACCATTTCAGAGGTCAAAGAAAGCAAATTCATAGTTGAAAAGTGCCAGGACTTCAACCTTCTGTTTAAACTACTCTTAAGGCCTACTTTATATACAGTTTTCAACTGTACAAAAAAAATCTTTAAAAAGTTTAGCTTTATGTAATAACATTAGAATGAAACATCCTGAACAATTAGCAAACATATATTTAAAGGATCACTATCAAGTTAGAAGTCTTTTCTACCTGCAGTTTTACCTATTTATAAATAATGCCTATGGTCTGATCTACATAGCACCACAGTGCAAACTAGAGGAGAGTGAATTAATTTGTAGAGCTGTCTAACTGCCCTGTGTGGACTCTTCTGATATAAATGAAAAGGCACCTAGTGCACATTAATCTAGTCATATTAACGCACAGCAGGTAACTTTTAGTTTGAGGCAGCAGGGTCTACACAGGCAGTTAATAATGCTCTACAGTTCATACTCTTGTAGTTTGCACTGTAGCATCATGTAGCGAAACCCTAAAATTATTATAACAGGAGAAATTATTTTTTCAAAGTTTACTTTGTGCATTTGACAGCAATTTATGAGCAGTCAGTTTCCCTGGTTCCCTGGACTCAGTCAAATCAGTCACTTCTGTTTGTGTGGGTCATTCACATAGTTATAGGTGAAACAGAAAAGTGTGATTGCAAGAATTTCAAAAAAGGACAGGGAAACTCAGAGGCAGAATAGTACTTGAAGTGACAACTTATTTGATGAGTTTGACTAGACTTCAGATTTAAAGAAGCCTGTAGGATTGACAAGGAAAATGAGGATGTAACTTCAGAAGTGCCTAATGAAGATGTTAGACATGCGTTTGAAAATCCCACGCTATAAAGTTAGCCAAACAACTTTTCAGAAAAGAACATGAAGTATGCTATTTCTAATTTATTATTACAGAACAATTTGCATTTTTAGTTTGCAATTAAAGGCATGTAATTAGCATAAGATTTAATTTTTTTTAATATTTTAAGGTCAGACTGGAAACTAGAGTAAAGATTAGTACTAAGAAAGATAAACCTTATTAAAAAAAACCCTGTAAATCACAGATGTAAATCCAATTACTTCAGTCGTTTACTAGAGTAAATTACCACAAATAAACATACTAATGATAAGTTTCACTTAATTACAAGCTTCTTCCTTTGCATGCACTTTCATTTATAGTCAAATACTATGTTATGTCTGCCTATTACAGTAACAGAACAAAAATTTGCTAACTACAAATATATGTTTTATCTTATACACATTTAATTAACAGCATTAACTCACCTGCTAAATATAATGCTGTAAATTTATAACTGGGAAACCTTAAATAATCCAATAGTAATGGCGTGTTAAATCAGAGCACGTCACTTTAATATCTTCTTATATGAAGACAATTTGCTGAAGTGCAGGCAGACGGGTTGTGTCCTGTGAGCTGCAATGACTATTCCAAAACTAGCAGGCTTGCAAATGATGTAATCAAGTCCTTAAGAGCTATAGACATGAATTTCTTCTGTGATAATCATGCATCATAATCTGCAACAACCAAACAAAAGTTAATAATTAAATATAAAACAAAATAATTTCAGTATTTTATGTTTCAGATTAAGCAATTAATATCCCTTTCAAATCCAGGGCTAGAATGTTTAACTGTACAGTTAACTTCTCTCTATATAATCTATCCTCACAAATTTTGTTCCAAGTACTCTCACACATTTTTTAATGGCGACCTCAATACATTCTCAGCTGGCAAAAAGTAATGGTCATAAAGTTTAAGGTCAAAAGGGACCACTAGAGCATTTCGTCTGACCTCCTGGCCACCACACGGAGCACCCACACACTAATTCCAACAACCAAAATTAGACCAAAGCATTACAGCCCACAGGAGAGTAACAATTATGTGCCACAAGATGAATGAGGTAATATCTTCTATTGGACCAACTTCTGTTGGAGAGATACATGTTTCGAGCCTCGTGTCTCTAATATCCTGGGACTGACACAGCTACAACTACACTGCATACAATTATGTGCCACAGGAAGAGAACAGGATGGACCCAGGTTCACCAGCGTCCAAAGTGCCCACAATGGAAGGGAAATGATTAAGTGAGATATACCCACAAGATAATGCTGGCAAGTGACCATACACACATGCTGCAGAGGAAGAAACACCCCCAATGTCACTGCCAATTCCCCACCCCCAAGGTCACTGTTTTCTGATCTGGGGGAAAATTCCCTCCCTACACCATGATAGCGATCAGTGACCCTTTGATCATGCAAGAAAACCAGTCAGCCAAGCATCAGAGGAGGAATGCTTGGTGCTAACTCAGAGCCCTGGCCCTCCCTATCTAATGTCCCATCTTCAGCTGTGGCCATCCCCGATGCTTCAGAGGAAGATTTAAAAACAACAACTCCTCCTCCTACACTTGGGGAAGGGGAAATACCTTCCTGACCCCTGCAGGCAGCTAGCTAAACCTTGAAGCATGAGCTTTTAGAAACATAAAATGTAAACCTGAAGTGAGCCCCAGCTGTTGAGCCCTAGCCGTTACCATCACAAGCAACCCCATCATACAATTACACTCAAATTTGTCCAGCTCTCTCTCAAAACTAATTCAGTTGTTTGCGCCAAGATTCCTAGTAGAAGACTGTTCCAGAACTTCATTCCACTTTCTGACAGTGACAGAAATGCTGAATAATCAACTACAAAATGTCCCTTTAAGCTATATAGTTAAATAAAAAACGTAACTTTATTTAGAATCCTTTAACAATGCAACTGAAATTTAACAAATACAAGAGTAAATGTCTAAATTTGCAAGTCAACATTTCTCATATACATTGTATCATTTAGAAGGATAGACTTTTGAATTTCCACAACCAAAAAAGTTCATTTTAATTTAATATTTAAAATCAGACTTAAAGAAACACTCGACTGCTTTAAAAATATTATACTGAAATTATTTTGATACTGTTCTTAAAACAGTTTAAATAATTATATTTGTTGGGCATAGAAAGGAATTTGGAGAACTAGATGTCTTAATAGATTCATAGATATTAAGGTCAGAAGGGACCATTATGATCATCTAGTCTGACCTCCTGCACAAGGCAGGCCACAGAATCTCACCCCCCCCCACTCCTGCGAGATAGATAAGTAATCTTCAGTAATAAAATATAGTGTTATGCTTCTAGGTCTGTGGTTCAAATCTTGCCAAATTCTATAGTAACTGGTGTCTTACGTGAAACAAATTTGAGTCTTAATGCAGTTTCTACTGAAAAGGAGTTCACTGCATATAAACCACCATCATAAATGACATTAGTTGTAGAGGTGCCATAGACTGAATGGGTGAAGAGACATTACTTATTTTGTCCTGTAGAAAAGTAATGAGATACACCAACACGGTAATATGAATAAACCTGGACTGCATTTGCCTGTTGGGTTTTTTTTAATTTTATTTTATTTCTGGAATAAACTCTTCCAATCTTCACTGCTGTCAATCAGCTCTTTCCCTGAACACTACATTCCCTTAATATTGTGAGGAAAGCAAAAGAACATTGTTTTTTTGTGCCAGGCCCACATACTTGTGTTTGTAGGATTAAGACTCTAAATTTTAAAATTTGATAAAATCCTGTCGCAAAAATTTGATTTTATGATCAAATAAAAAGGAACTTAATTAACCCAATAAACCTTTTTAGTTGCAGCAGGCTTTCTTGCTTTTCATGTTCTATTTTGCAAGATATTTAGGTCACACTTATGTCTACTTGTAGTCCATTCATTATTTAGAAACCAGAACATAAAACCCGAAGTCTTCATGAATAGGTTTCCTTCCTGAGTTATCCTGAACTCTCTCACATTTTTTTATAATGATCAATAAATGCCACCTTTGTATGTCTGGATTTGTATTTGAGGTAAAGATAGTTTAAAAAAGGGACTAAATGTATTTAAGATATATCAACACACTCTAGACCAGAGAGTATAGTCCTATGTATGCGGCGCAACTTACTAAAGAGAGAGATCTTGGAATGGTCATTAAGGACTACGTCTTCAACAAAATGTAACAAGGAGGTGACATAACCACATAATCTTTAGTTGTAGTACCAAATGAAAAATGGGTCAGTGAATTTACTATAACATATTTGTTAGCTGAAAATATATCTCAAATTTCTATTTAATATGTTTTAAATTTTGTTTCACCTTTTCTTTCCTGAAAGTTTTAATTCTTTCCCAGATTAGGTCATTATGTCCGCCTTCTTGATGCACTTGCTTTCAGCATGCTTCTTTTTTCCTCTTTCCACCCTCCACATTTACTCCTGGGGGAATTTTGCGCCACTACACATGTGCAGAACTTATGTCCCGCACCGATTTCTTTACTTCCCCACAGAAAAATGACTTTCTAAAGGAGAGGCAAAGGAAAGTTACAAGAGCGGTCATACGACCCTCCCCAGCAGTATGTTTTGGGAGCCCAGGGCAGCCTGCAGAAAGGTAAATCACTGTGCGGCAGGTGCGGGACTGGGGAAGACCTGGATGGTGGCTCCTACCCTGCGCCAGGCTCAGCTGCTAGTCCCGGCTGAGCTGGGGAGGACAGGATTTTCTCTTCCCATGCACACACCCAGACCCCTTCATACCCAGAGCCTCCCGCCAAGCCTCACCCCCGCACACGCAGAACCCCCCCGACGAGCCCCACTCCCCCTGCACCTGAAGCACCCCAACAAGCTACCTACCGTATCCCCATCCTACCAAGATCCCACCAGCTGCACCTGGATCCCCACTCCACTGAGCCCCACTCCCCCAGCATCTGGACCCCCCCCGCGCCAAGCTCTATCCTCCCCACCCCACCCCCCGCTGAGCCCCAACTACCTTCACCTGGACCCCCCTGCAGAGTCCCATTACCATTACACCCAGAATCCCTCAACAAGCTCCTATGCATCCAGATCCTCCCCACAGCTGAATCCCCCACCGACCCGCCCACACCCAGATTGCCCCACACAGAACTCTTTCAACTCACTCCAGGATCTCCCCACACTAAGCCCCTCCACACTTGGATCCTGCCTTGCTGAGCCTGCCTACCAATACCCAGTGCACCTAGCAAGAAGAGGCAGGGTCCTGGAGTGTTTCTGGGGCAGGCCTGGTCCTTGCACTGTGTCAGGGTTGGGTGCAGCCTCACCACGGGTCTGTGTCCCCCGGGGTGGGGTGGGAGGGAGAAGAGATGGAGCTGCACAGTGATCTCCCACCTCTGTGCAGCCAGTGGCCTGTGCTCTCCAATGCCAGGCTGGAGCCTCCACATTTATTTGACAAATAAAATTTGCAGAATTTTAAAATACTCTGTGCAGAATTTTTAGTTTTTGGCACAGAATGCTCTCAGGAGTACACATTAGATACCATGTCCTCTAAACCTCTTCTGTATTTTCTGCCTCTCCTACTTCTCTCACACTTCTCTCTCTCTATTCCAATAATCACTCTCCCTTGACTTACCATACACCTACTCCCTCATTCATACACACTCCCTTTTTTCACATGTAAAATTTCCCAGAACACTAATAAGCTGAACACTGGCCAGATAAAAAGCCAAGTCACACCCCCCCCTCAAGCTATTGGGAAAAGAAGCAGTCAAATTTGTCTTGCTTGCAGCAGCTCACCAATGCAATAATTTTCCATCGAGGATGCATATTGTGCTTCAAAATGTAAACTTATAACAGCTAATATAATCAACACAGTACTGTGTGTCTGGTGGCTTCATCTTTTGTAGCTCCCAGCTAGCAGGTGTCTGACATCTGAAGCCCACCCCCACTAGTAGCTGCTGGAAAGAACAGTTTTCTCACACCACACTATCTCCCCCATCCACAAGCCCCCTGGCTACTGCAATTATTGAGGTGATGGTGTGTTTCCATACATCTACCATTCCACAGCCTATATTCAGGGTCCTCCATCCTAGTGAATAACTCCAGTGTTTGCCTCTGCTACCACTCAGCTTTTCCACACAGCATCAAGTTACAATTGCCCTGTTTCTTTTAAGTTTGTATTGCTGCTAAGTGAAACTGACAAAACTGGTCAGTTTTCACTTTACTGCACTTTGGGAAAATTATGAGAGGCAATTGAGACAGGGGAACTTTGCAGACAACAGGTGAATATGCTTGTCTTTTCTCTAAAATTTCATTCTATTCCTACTAATGAGGTAACTCTGCTGATGGTAGCAACTGCAGAAAGCAGGAATGCAGACTAGCCACTGTTGTTTTATCTGCATCATCTACCACTTCTCAGAGCACATACGGAGGACATGGAGATTAAGATACAGCAATGCATCCTCTCCACCAGCTTGGCAACCCCTTATAGGAAGTCAAAAAATATTTAAACACCTCCCTCATTTTTACAACAAACAAGTCAAAGTATCAAGCCTATATAATAAATTTGGGTATGTGTGTTTGCAGAGGTTGACAAAATACTTTACCGTGAAGGGAAAGTATGTGCAGGGAGTAGGGGAGCAAGCTTTCCTTTGCTTTACACTGTAATAAGATCTTCAATGTCTTATGAGCCTCTCTGGCCATGCCACCCTCCAGTAAGTCACTACCCACCAGCTGACACACTGGTTCACATTAGCCCTCTAGCCATGCTACCACCAGTAGAACTGAACTCTGGGAAATTTCAGACACAAGCCTAGTTTAGCCAAGATTTCATGAAGACAGCACTGTTCATATTTTTAATATCATTGCAACCTTAAGTTGTTTTTTCAAATGCAAAACCTAAGATTCTAGAGAACTAATGGTACTCAACTTCTACTTCTTCCAGCAAGCCCTTCAGAAATGGGACAAAGGGATGAAAGAGTTGCAACAAGGCATCACATTTTAAACTGCTGAATTTTAGGTGTGTGAATCTTTTTATCCGAAACCAGAAGACAGCCCACGGCACCTAAATCACTAGCCCCCACCTCCACCCGACAAAAGAACTGTAGCCGTCTCCTTGTTCAACATGCATTATGCATCCAGCTCTGGATTGGCTAAAACGTCCACTCCCTTCGGAACAGCCGCCGTTCAATCCCATGGGCTTGGCAACAGGAGCCCGCAACGTGGAGACAGGAACAAAAGAAACATCGGGGAGGGAGACTATCCACGTCCCTCTGCCACACTGCAGAGAGGGAGCGCAGAAGCGGTTGCGACACGACGTTCCCTGCAACCCCCACAGCTAGTGTGGCTTTAGCCGCATTGTTTCCTTTGTCAAGGAGAACTGGGGGAATGGGTCTGAGGATGGTGAGGAAGGCATCGCCCAGCCTCACAGTCACTATCCTTCTTTCCTCCCCCAGAAACTGACCCCCTAGCACGCGAAAACCATGTGCCCGTCTCCCCGAGAGCGGCAGTGACCCGGGGCTCCACCAGGCGGGAGGACGGCGGACGAGGCTCGCGCGCCAGGCCCCTGCTGCAGGCGGCGGGATCCGCCATTCGCGCGCGCGCCGCGCTACAGGTGAAGAAGGGCGCCAGCCTGGGCGAAGCTGTGCAGCCCGCGCTACGACACGCGGTGCTCCAACATGGCGCCGCGCGCGGCCCGGCCATCAGACTCACACAGCCTTACGCGGCCCGAGAGAAAGAATCCGCCAGCCCAGCCTCATTGCCCCCCGGGCCTCCTCCCTCGCCCCCGGCCCTGGAGCCAGGTACCTGGTGTCTTTCAGCGCAGACGACACCGTTCATATTGAGAGCTTCCAGGCTGTGGACGAAGTCGGTTCGGAGACGCAGACCCAGCCCAGTACGGAGGCGGCGGCGGGAATGTCCGCGGCGGCGAGAGGGATCGGGACGGGAGGCGACTCAGACCGGAGTGAGCGCGCGCACAGGCGGGGAAGGCGCTAAACTGCCGCCACCAGCCAGCTCCAGACCCTGCGACTGCCCCCGTCCGCGCGCGGCGCCGCCAATGTTCACAGAGACACTCCGCCCCCGGAGGCCGAGTAGGGTTTGGAATCATTCCGCCGAGAAACGAGTCCCGTCTGACAGCTCAGCGTTAAGATCTCCCCCTCCCTCGTGTTGCAAAGTAGGGCAGTGGAAGGTGATTGAGCTGAGGCGAAGGGAAGCTACCGCGCGCTGCTACTGTCGCCGCCCAGAACTGGTTTCCTCCTGCTGCGGGCGGCTGGGCTGCATTTGCTGCCCGTACTTGTTGCGCCGCCGCCGTTGTGCTGCAACGGGACACCGTGCTTTAGAACTACAGAGCCAAGTATAAGCGTTCGCAAACGTCCCAAAGGTAATGGCAATAACCTTCCTGCTGCATTGCAGAAAGAAGCCCGCTGGGCCTAGAGCCACCACGACTATGCCCCATTGTGTAGCGTGCATAGGTGCTGGAACCGATGCTAAAGTGGTTTCCACCATATACAGGTTTTACAGTTTGGTTCAAAGACTCTGAGCACCCCCACTGTAAAAATTATTCCAGCAGCACCCCTGGTTGATTGCTAGCTAAACGTTGAAGATTATTAGTAGGGAGACGTTGTGATTTAGCCCCTCTTCCTCCCCTCTCGCATCTTAGCTTCTCCTGTTGATACACCAGTAAAGTGTACACTGTATGTCACCTCTCTGCTGTATACGAGGCCTTTCTTATTGGAGTTCAATCCTTATGTCCTGGAAAGCAAACCAGAAAGTCAGTACTAGAGCTAGGATTAGGAAAATCTCACATCTATGAGCTTGAGGGTTATCAGAGCGATTCACCAACTAAATACCTGCTTACTGATCCTCTGAGGTGGAGGATGGTAGCCAGGTGGACAACTGGCACTTACAACAATAGTGTGTTGAAGGGAAAAGAGGTATCTAGAGTGAAAAATAATAATAATTATACTAAAACATTAAGTATTTCTCTATATTACTATAAAAGTGTATGGCAGTTTATTCCCAGATAAAAAAATAAAGCATTGTCCGAATTCTGAAGAGTTTACTGTCCAAGGCCTGGATCCTGCAATCGGTTCTATCCAGATGGATGTAAACACAGCCCTATTAGCTTCAGTGGGGTTCTGTGGACAGAGACACAAGGGGTTTATCTGCACAGATCTGATTGTAGTATCAGGGCAGATTTTAATAACCTGTATTTACACACACCTCAACTGCTAGAAGAAGGCTTCATCCTCGCTGATTGAACTAACCTCATTATCTCTAGCTCTGATTCTTGCTTGCATATTTATACCTGCCTCTGAAAATTTCCGCTACATGCATCCGACGAAGTGGGTATTCACCCACGAAAGCTCATGCTCCAATACGTCTGTTAGTCTATAAGGTGTCCCAGGACTCTTTGCTGTATTTACACAGTAGTGTCTATCATAAAACCCTACAATGCTCTGCAGTCTGTACAATTGGCTCCCTAATTCTCCAACCTATGCTTAAAGGTTGGCCAGGAAAAGGAAAAAAATGTATGTATATCAGTAGAATTTCTGAGAATTGGTCTTTAGCTATGTATAAAAATATAATGACAAACGTATTTTATGTCATCATCTTTTTAGATTCCTCATAAATTATAAGCCAGGCTGTCCGCTTAATGATGCGTGACACAGTTATGCTTCTGACACAAAGTGTTCGGGAAGCTGTGCATTATTAGATACTGTTTCACAATCTGAATATTTAAATTCAGTGGGGCTTCATGTGGGAGCAAGGGTCACCCTACATGGGTCAGTTTTCAGAATCAGGACATAAAGTTTGGTATTTGAACTTAAAGACGTTGTCAAACATGTAAACTCTAAAAATTAGCTACCCTTGTTAGTGGTCCCATCTGTTATTTTATTTTGATTGCAGCAGTGCTCAAAATATGTTAGGTACTATCCAAACACAGAGGAAGACAATCCCATCCTGGAACATCCATCTAAAAAGAGTGAAGAGAGGGATAAAGAGATACAACATAAAGCAAAGATGTCAGGATGATGATAAGTACATGTCTTGTTAGGCCCTTAGGATATTTTTTGTTTTGTTCTTATCTGTTTAAAATAAAGAACTGCCCCATAACTTTGCTATTATTTGTTCTTGACCAGTCCCTGAACCACAAACACAAATTACTTTAGTTTATTATTATTATTATTTTATTTTCAAAACCAGTAAAACGCTAGCTAAATTTTTCCCTAAATGTTGGTTCCCATGCGTCACTCAAGTCTTTAAATCAAGATTGGACGTCTTTCTAAAAGATATGCTTCGGTTCAGCCAAAAATTATTGGGCTTGATGCAGGACTTACTGGCACAAATGTATGGCCTGCATTGTGCAGGAGGTCAGACTATGGTCATGATGGTCCCGTCTTTGACCTTAAAATCTGTGAACTGATCTAGTAAAGTCAGCTTATCACGCTGAATAAGAAACTTCCCCATCCTTCTGCATAAATCCCAATTCTGAGTAGAAATAAGATATTTGTAAAATGCCACTGCTGATTCTGAGGGACACCTGAGTAGGAGCAGCAGAAGGTCCCTAAAAGTGTGAGGGGGGGCCCTCCTCCCCCATCAGTGCCCGAACCGTGGTCCCTTTCCTCCGTCCCTTCCCCTGAGGGCCGGCCCTCACGCCACTTCTTTCTCTGAGGCCCCGCCCCCACACCATCCCTTCTCGCCAAGCCCTCACACTACTGCTTCCCCCAAGGCCTCACTCCTGTGCCACCTCTTCCCCCCAAAGATCCTGGCCCCTGCTTGCTCCTCTCCATTCCCTACCCACCTGTCACTCGCCTATGGCTGGTGCGGGGGAGCCATGGCCCCTTGGCTCTCACTGTTCTGACACCCCTGCTCCTGACATACCATCTTTTTGTTCCTTGTTTGTACAGTGTGTTCCTCATCCAGGACTGGGGCTCCTAGGTGCCACCACTACTCAAAAAAGAAATAAATAAAAATAATATTAGGAGACAGAATCAAGACTCCTTGTTTCTTTTCCTGAATTTTGCCAGTAACTCACTGAATGCATCCTACCATTGTCTACGCTATATGTTTCCCTATGCTTTTCACTTTTGCTATAACTGGTACAACTCCACTGGTGATAGCAATTGTGGGAAATTTTAGGGACAAAAGACTAGGGTAGACTCAGGTGCATGCTTCAATTGTTCAGTCTGTACAATGGGGTTAATAAATACCTATCTGTCTAAAATGCTTTGAGATTTCCGGAAGAAAAGCATCATGTGGTTCTATACTGCAAAGTAACCAGCAACACATGATCAGGCCACACAAGAACAATGTTTTATTAAATTGGTGATTTATTATACTGAAAAAATTGTCTTGGTTAATCGGAGTGCAGTAGAGTTACTAACCCATAGTTATATGCTTATTTCTCAGTGTCCAGCCTGTACTCTTCTTCTGTTTCTCCATAATTGTACAGCAACCAAACCCCTGCTCTGTGATTGCTCCCTTCTTCAGAACATTGCATCATTATGCCTACAGCAAACATGGGTGCCTCAACTCCACGCCCTGCTCTTCTTAGCTTTTAAATTGCTAGCCACACCTCCTTGATCCCTCTATTTCACTTCCCTTTCCTCTGTCAGCCACCTACTCTTTGCTTTCCTTTTGATTGAAGACTCTCATTGAACATATTAATCAAATGTCTCCAGGGCAAACAAAAGAATAGGTAAGTGTGACAGGTTCGATCACAGAGACCCCCTTGAGGATGTCACCTGATGTGCTGGAATTACCTCTGAGCCCGTTTTCCATTGCCAGCTTGGGACTCCAAAACTCTGCCTCCCTGAGCCAGATATGCTAGTCTTCTGCAACACAGACTCAGGTCTGGTCAATGCCCCCAAAGTTGTAGACTTTAACCAATAACTGTTCAGCAAGTCACTTATCTCCAGCACCCAGACACCCTGCTCCCAATGGGATCCAAACCTCAAATAAATCCGTTTTACTCTGTATAAAGCTTATACAGAGTAAACTCATAAATTGTCTGCCCTCTATAACACTGATAGAGAGATGTGCACAGCTGTTTGCTCCCCCAGGTATTAATTACTTACTTTGGGTTAATTAATAAACAAAAGTGATTTTATTAAGTATAAAAAGTAAGATTTAAGTGGTTCCAAGTAATAACAGACAGAACAAAGTAAGGTACCATGCAAAATAAAATAAAACATGCAAGTCTAAGCCTAATACATTAAGAAACTGAATACAGGTAAATCTCACCCTCAGAGATGTTTCAGTAAGCTTCTTTCACAGACTAGACTCCTTTCTAGTCTCGGCACAATCCTTTCCCCTGGTACAGTTCTTGTTAGTTCCAGCTCAGGTGGTAACTAGGGGATTTCTGATGACTGGCAGCCATCTTTGTTCTGTTCCACCCCCTCTTATATCTTTGGCACAAGGTGGGAATCCTTTGTCTCTCTCTGAGTTCCCACCCTTCCTTCTAAATGGAAAAGCACCAGGTTTAAGATGGATTCCAGTATCATGTGACATGTAAAATGTAATAAGAAAAGCCAAAAAGGAGTTTGAAGAACAGCTAGCCAAAAACTCAAAAGATAATAACAAAATGTTTTTTAAGTACATCAGAAGCAGGAAGCCTGCTAAACAACCAGTGGGGCCCCTAGACGATCGAGATACAAAAAGGAGCACTGTGACAGGGTTGGGCCAGATGGCTATAGGAGAGTAATAGAAGGCTATAGGAGAGTAATAGCCCCAGGCTAAGTAGGTCCCTTTTCCCTGGGTAAGGTAACGGGGAAGGTTTTTTGTTTTTGAAACAGAAAAGAATTTTATTATGTAACACTTGCAAAGAGTTACCAAAGAAAACAAAACAAACTATGCAACAAAACAACGCAAACAGAAGGTGTAACACAGCAGCTTTCAGGAGGGAGAAGTGTTCAGGCTAGCCTGGGCCCAGAGCAGGGGGGCTTCCTCGACACTTGTGGTCTTCCACCCTCCTGAGTTACCTGGTGGCCTAGAGCGGGGGGGCTTCCTCGACACTCGTGGTCTTCCACCCCCTTGAGTTACCTAGGGCCGTGCCCAGTGTCACCGATTATCCCTCTCCTGAGAGTGCCCAGCAAGATGGGCACGGCTGCGGGGTGGGCGGTTTGGGGGTGGGGGGGGTAGACACCCATGTATTATAGGACCCCTCCTAGATGACCGTAATGATGGTATCCACAGCGGCAACGGCTGGGGATGGCGTCTCTCGCTCTTTCCCTCAATCAAAGGGTCAGACGGAGGGAACCGGATGGGGTCACCGAGCAGAGAACCCTGGACAGCGCCCACCGCTCCTCGAAGGCGTCAAGGGAGTCGGTGGACGCCGCCCAGAGGAACTCCGCCCGGATACGTGAATGTACCGAGGATCGGAAAAAAGGCCCCACAATCGCAGGACGCTTCATGGGCCAACCTCCCCTCTCTGGTTTTATAAATGGCTGTTTTAGCCAAGGCTAGGAGGAGGTTAACCAGGAGATCTCGCGATTTTGTGGGGCCACGGATGGGGAGTGTATAGATAAAAAGGTGAGGGGAGAAATGAAGCCAAAAGCGCAATAGAATATTTGTGAGGAGCCGGAAAAGGGGCTGCAATCTGGCACACTCTAGATATACGTGCGCCCAGGGTTTCCCTCACATTACAAAAAGGGCAAGTATCCAGGATGGGGGTAAACCGTGTCAGAAACACGCCCGTGCTCACAGCTCCGTGAAGGAGCCGCCAACTGATGTCCCCGACGGGCCTCGGGACCAAGGTGGAATACAGGCTGGCCCACCGAGGTTGCTCACCCTCCAAAGGTGGCAGGAGGTCCCGCCACTTTGTATCGGGGCGGGACACCAGGGTGTGGGCGTGAAGGGTGTGAAGCGTGAGTGTGTATAAATATTTCCGTGGTGCGGTTTGAAAACTGACCGGCTGCAGTTCATGCAGCTGGCTTGCAGTGAAAGGGTGAGGGGTTTGTTGGGATCGGCAGGGTAAGGGCCCAATGGAAAGATCCGGCGGGCCTGGGGTAGAGGATGGGCGGGGTGCGCCCTCGCGCAAGGCTCGGTTGACA